GCGGGGCTCTGGGCCCGCGTGGTTATGGGGCCGAGGGCAGTAGCCGTGGTGAGGGGGTATCGCTGTGGGCTGTAGTTAGCTTGCAGGAGGACAGGAGCTTCGTTCAGTACCAGCTGCCTTTCCGAAGATGGCAGAAGCTGTTGAGGGATGAGGTGGGGCGAGGGGTAGCCCCGGCGTGTGAGGGACGTCTGGGTGGTTCTCTTCCCACCCGTCGTCTTGGCGAAGCGAGAACAGCAGAGGCAAGCTCAGAACTCTTGGGCAGGGAGGGAATTACTGCTTGTCTGGAGTTTCAACCTGCCAGTAAGGGATTGTTTCCAAAGTAGCTGTTCTCAAGGGAGAGCAAGGATGTGCTTGCTAGACAAAGGCGTGGAAGTAAAAGCATGCATACTAAATAGCTAAGCTGCCTTAAGATTGCCTTTGTTTTTACTTGACTTTGTATGTTGCGTATGATAAAATCTCCCTCACTTGGATTTCTGTGATGACAGAATAGCCAGCTGCCCATCATGGAGGCAAGTACTGAAAATATCAGGAAGATGTATACCCGAGGCTACAAAAATTAAACACCGAGCCATCTTGCGAAGCATACAGAACTGGCCCGTACTTCTAAACAGTAGAAAGTATTGAGTCATGACCTTAGCTGTGAAAGGTGCGGGAATCACTTTGATCCAAACTGTATTCCAGTCATGTCTAAATCTCACGTCTTGCTTCCTTCTTTCAGCAGTATCTGTTGGCCTTTTTGACCTGTTTTCACTTAGGACAGTTGAATGGACTTGTTTTCTCTGCTGTCAGAATGCTAAGTTGGTGAGGCAGCACCTGAATGGCATGACCAGAGCTTCCCTGAGGAAACGAGCTGGCTCGCTGTGAGAGTTTGCAAAAAGAACAGGCTCAAATCTCCACAAAGACTGTCCTCAAAGGCTAAACTTTCTTCTCTGCACAAAGAAAAATAGTTTTATTTAATATCTTGCAGTTATTTTGGAGATAAATATATACTAAAAAGTTCCAAAGAGGTTTTTGGCATTCTCACTTCTTCTGATTAATCACCATGCTACCATGTCCTTAACCTGTATTTCAAGCCCATACGTTCCTACCACTGTCCACATTTAATAGTGAGACTCAGTGGCCGAAGTAAGTTAGGTTTCATCTCCTGTTCATTTCTGAGTATACAAGCTAGCATCCTCATAGACTGCTAACGCTGTCCTGTGTGAACGTCTGCTCTAACTGCTCCTAAGAGGAGGATTTTAGGTTTGCGTTTTATTGTCTAGTTGGAACATTGTGGAGCCGTAAACTTCCAGATTTTTAATCATATGGACAATCTTTGTTCTTCTTTTGCTTGAGTCGGTTGGATTCTGATAGCAAGTTTGAAGCAGGGTGATGGATCCCAATACCGAGTTTAACTTGCGTGCAGTGATTAATCAGTTTGTGCTAATTCCAGTAATTTTATTTGTTAAGTAGTAGCTCAGATGCTAGGTGATATCCGAACATAAATGTAAGGACTTAGCATTGACACTGATACTAAATCATTTAATATAACTTAATGTTGTTACTGGTTAATCTTGTTTGGAACCGAGGACATCTTGCTGACGTCTTCAGATGGGCTACTGCTTTCAGATTACTGGGTGCCATTTACAAATCATAGAGCCTGAACAACTGGGCATTGCTCATTCCTAATTAACTCACGTCAACCTTTTGCTGTTGTAGAAAGTGTGTAGTTATTTTCTCATTTAGAAATCACTGTTGGTTTTGGTTTTCAGATGTGTTCTAAAAGAACTGGAATCACTGGGAAAAGCACTGTACGGAGCAAAATTAATTGCCCAAAGATTTCAAGTTCGAAACTGTTCTCACCACAAGGATCCTGTGAGTGGTTCGACCTGTTTACTTTCTATGATTGAAGAAGGCAACCCTCATCACTTCTTTATCGCTACACAGGTAAATGCTCATGGGAAACATAACTTCACTTCATCTGAAGTGATCCTTTGATACCTAAGGATGAGGAAACCTACAGAAACCTCGGTTATGAGGTTTTTAAATAGCTTGTGGGAATTAATCTCGTAAAGCCTTACTCACTATTACATGTATTTGCTAATTATGAAGTAGGGAATCTTTTGTCTTGCTTGAACACCTAGGTATTTTTACCCTAGAAGGATATTGCTTAGTTTAGCAGAAAGGGTAGAAAACATACTGACTACCTACTGACAGGTAAGAAAACAACTGATGAATGTTAATTTGCATATTGCTTATGTGTGCATCCCCTGCCCTGAACCATTTTGCACAGTAGTCTAAAAAGTGAAAATAAGCGTTAAACGACCATATAACTTCAGTTTTAAGAAATTTTGGAGGTTTTGACTAAAGAATAAAGGTAGAATTTGTGTACAAATAAGAAAGGCAGGTTTTTTTCTTAGGTCTGTTATTGGGACTGTATGTGTAAATTATATACACTATATATAAAATGGTTTACAGTAAAATTCTGTATACTTATGTAAGATACAAGGAGTTTAAAATGATGTGTCAAAGAGAAATTATCTTCCTTCTTGTGAAGTGGTGTACTACATACCAATGAACTGGGACTTTTTTCTCAAAAAATGCATGTATGCTTACATATGCATGAAAAAAGGAAACATTAAGAAATTTTCCATCAGAAGTACAGCTAATCAGAAGGAGAGAAATTGAAATTTAAATTGCTCTGAAAGGCACTGCCAGGTATATCTGCTAGATTAAGTTTCTTATCTTTTTCATAATGTGATTTATCTTCATAGTTTTGTATTAAAAGTAGGTGCATTTGAATTGCAAATATCATTTAATCCCAAAATATTGACTAAAGTATTTAATTTTACAGGACCAGGATTTAGCAAACAAAGTGAAAAAGAAGGCTGGCGTTCCTCTCCTCTTTATTATTCAGAACACTATGGTGCTAGACAAACCTTCTCCGAAATCTTTGGCATTTGTTCAAAAGTTGCAGACAAATGAGCTTGTTCCAGAGCACCAAAAACAAAGTATTGAGCAGCTTAAAGAAAAAGAAGGACTAGCGAAGCAAGAAGGTGAAAAGAGAAGGAAACGTAAAAGGGCAGGCGGCCCCAATCCTCTCAGCTGTCTGAAGAAGAAAAAGAAGAAAACACAGGAGGGTCAGGAGCCTTCTGCTGAAAAGAAGAAAAGAAGAAAAAGAAAGCGAAATAGGGTTAAAGCAGAAGCTGTGCAGTCAGTGCGGAAGAATGAAGAAGAATAAACCCATCTTTGTAAACAATGCAGGACTTGAACATTGTTTGAACTCTATATACTAATCTTTCTTTTTGCAATCATGTGAAATCAAGTTGTTCTTATTAAAACTTATTTTTCTGAGATGGTACTGCTTATTACTGGATCCCAACGTTTGCAGGTTATTGTCCTAATAATTTATTCTGTTGTTTAGTAATTGGCTTTGTGACAAAATACTTAGGAACTCTCATGTTTCGTTATTCTCTCCAGCATCTTGATTCCTGACAGAGAGTTAACATGATCAGTAGCAATTTTTTAGAACTGCTTCTTGGGTTTCACATGGGTTTTGGTGGGATACTAGACTTCTTTCTAAATCTAGGTTGCTATTCATACTAAAACTAGTTTTGACAGTTGTTCTGTTACAGAATGTGGAGTTGACCTAAAAGAGCATAGCATCTTATTTATCTGTATTGTTTGAATACAAAGGTTAAGTCTTTTGCAAAGCGACTGGATGCCCTCGAGAAGTCTCTTCCAGCCTAAATTACTCTGTAAACTCCATGTGAACTGATACGTCTGCTGTTCGTGACCTTTAAGAAGATCCTGAAGGGCGTGTGATTTTGTTGATATTCCTGACATTATAATGGCATCTCTAGTGTGTCTAGCTTACCTCTAGTTTATTCTTCCCTTCTAAATAGGAAGAATGCAACTTGAAAATGCTGAATCATAGCACTGACTAACACCTAATGCCATCGCAGTATAGCGCAGCTGTGGGGGAGTCCTGAAATACAGCCAGGTGACGGTGATGGGACTTGGACCCCGTTGCACATGTTTCACTGGTCCGTAAGGTTATGAATAGAATAGAACTGCGTTGGGGGAGGGAGCTGCCAAAATTGTTTCAAGTACTTGATTTTCTATAGTAGTTGTTTCCTGTACCTTGCATGTTTGGTGGCTTTGGGAGGCAGAAGTGAGCGGCCGAGATGACGTTTTGCAGGGGTATGCAGTAGCGTACGTGCTGTGGCATAGGTGTGCCGTAACAGTGTTTCCAGTCACCTCTTACCAGATTTTTAACTTTTCTCGGTGCATTTCTGCTTAACCGAGATGTAATTTTCTAAAAGGAAAGCTTTCTGTTTCTTCACCTACATGAGTTTGGGCCATGTTTTTTAAACAGTCCTTCAACCTATGTATCATATGTTTGCAAAGTAGTTCTCCTATGTGCATTATCTGCACAGGTTCTTGAATGTCTGGAGTACGTACACAGCTATAATGTATGATGCTTTCTGTTGGCTTTTCAAATGGTAAGGACGGTTGTTTCATGGAGTTTGAGAAACCAGCTTGCGTGATGGGAGTTGGCCAGTCTTAGCGGAAACTGCAGGGTCGTTCCCTAGAATCTGCAGAGATTTCCTCCAGCCAGCGCGGGAGAGGTACATCGGTGTGCTCTCTGCTTGCAGCACGGTACGCTGCTGCTGTAGCCCCGGGTCGAAGCTGTTCACCGCAACAAAGCCGTTAGGAGTGGAGTGTGCCTTTATTGTTCCATATGAGAGACCACACGCGCCTTGGGAGCTGACCGTGAGAGATGGAAGCAGCAAGGAAGGGTGCTGTACTCGAGGTGAAAGCTTTAATTAAAAATTAAAACCAGTCATGCTCATCGTGGTATTGTTCCTACATATGGTTGCTAATAGTGAGTCCTGAGGAGAAATTTAATCACTCCTAGAAATTCCTTCATGCAGCATATTTGTTTAATGTATATCACCTTTCTCAAGCTGTCCTATTTCCTTCTCCTTCACTTATTTGGGCACAGTGCCACGTTAATGTAGTTTTGCTTCCCATTCCCCCTTAAATATTGCTTGTATTTCTTTCCCCTCCCCAAACCCGCCTGCAGAAAGCACTGCTGTAAGTCAAGCTTGGAGCAGACAGCAGAGATGGCTCATCTTCAAAATCTCATTCTGAGTCAAAAGCTTATTAAAATCCAGTAACTTTACTATAAATATTGTTTTTAAAAATTGAGGAGAAAACACACCGTAATTATTTACAATAGTCCCTTTCAGTGCAGTTGAAACACAAAGCTTAAATATACCTTTTTTGAAGACTACAGACAGACAAAAACATAAGTACTGCAAAAAAGAGTACTTTAACAGTCCTCTAATGACTCCCACCTTAAGGAATTTAAAACAATATTTATCTGTGTTTCCTTAGTATTTTGCGAACACAGACTGAGTCATGGTGTTGCCATTGGGAAGAACTGGAATGAAAAGGGAGTGAGCTCTTAAGAGAAAAGCTGTGAAATTTGCAGCTCTCCTCCAGCGAGGTAAATAACTTGCCTTTCAGTTTTGGAAGAGAGCTCCTGCCCAGGCAACAAGCAGAGGCAATCAGACCATGTGTTGTTACCGTTTTGAAGCTGGAAAAAAAAACCCACCCTAGTTTCCAAGTAAAACAAGTCCGCCAGGCCAAAGCTGACAGGCTGTATTTATATCATCAAGTCAGTAACGCTGAGAGCAGCCTGTAACGCTGAGCCCAGCTGGCATGGACGGGCTCTGTCCAGGCTGGGCTCTTGTAGCGCGCACCGGTGTGGCTGCCTGCAAATGGCCCCGTGCGGGTGCTCTCTGGCTGTGCTGCCTCTGCCTGCCAGGTTTTGGTGGAGGTTTAGCTGGCCCAGGCTAGAAACGGTGCCGGGGTCCCTCTAATAATTCAGCAACGTGAGTCACTGGGAGCATCCCTAGGCGTTGTGTAAAACACCGCCGTGGAAGTACCTGTAGAGCTAACTCTGCTGCTGTAGGAGTTCAGCTCCGCGTTCTGCCCAAAGCCACGGTGGCCAGTCCCAATCCCTTATTTATCAATAAATGGTCTGGAGATCTGGGCAGATGTCTAGTACAGACAGGGTCCCCAATGTGACTTTTCTAATAAAGTTTAGGATCGTTTTGCTGTAGCGTGTCGGAGGGACTGGTTTTGTTTTTGAAACTACAGAAAGCCAGAGGTAAATTGAAAGGAGCTTGAGCGAAAGCTTCTTTGGGGCTATTGATTTCCTCTTTTCTCAGACAGGATAAATATATATCCCGAATCCTATGCAGTACCTCACTAAATCTTTCTTTAAAAAAAGAGGGAAATAATAACCAGTGTTGTACAGTCCAATGTATGCTACATGTGCAGAATAATAGAGGAAGAAAACAATAATGCTTCAGCCACAGTCTGCAGGGTATTAATGCTGAATTTAGGACAGAGTCTCATCTACCAGCAGCAGAAGATATTTACCCAGACTGCCTGCCAATTCAATTGGCTGGATTTATACGTTGGTGTGATCCGGTATGGTACAATAAATCACTCCCTGAGCATCTGTTAACGACACGAAATAGATGAGTTAATTAGAAGCTTCTGGAACCTAGGATGTTTATGAATCATTAAAGTAAATATGAATATGGTATGACTTGAAGAATAAATACATTCTGGTGGTGAAAGGAAAATAGGATGTCCAAAGCAGTCCTGCTCATTTGTTTTCAGCTACGCTGGTATAGTGTGAATGGCTTCTCCATCAGCTTTAGAGTGTTCCTGGAGTTTCTTGAACATGTTCTGTCAGATACAAGATGAAGAACGTCGGAACAATGCCATTATTTATACTCATTGGATCTTTCATATAGAAGTTTCACAAGCAGCTACTGTATATTTCATACCTCTGTGTGGGCGTAATATCTCACACAGGGAGCAGCCAGAGACACGGGGAATGAACAAATAAGAGCCCCAGCAGGTGTTATCATTTACAATTTCGTGGAGAAAGATTGCCGTGTACTGAGAAAGAATGACAGAAAGCAAAAGTTTTCGTACCCAGAGAGTCAGGAGTGAGAGAGAGACTGCACCTTGTGATTTAGGAATGGCCTAACTAATGCCAGGAGAGGAGGTTGTGATGTATTTCTGGTAATTATTATGTCTGTGCACTCTGAGCCCCAAATTTGTCTAGGAGAGTTCAGCTGTCTGCCCACGGAGGCAGTCATTTTGCAGAAGTTGCTACGGCTTGTTACAGAAGAGACAGGCTGGGCTCTCTTGGGGGGACTTTATTTTCTGATTTCTTCTCCTGTGGTTCAGAGGGAGAGCATGCAGCTGCACTCTGTGTATGGATACAGGGAAACTACGAAGCTGTTAACAAGGGTCCAACCAAAACCAACCCAGAGCCGAGAGCTGGGAGGAAGAAAAGAGACAGTAGATTAGTCACTGGCATTTAAAAGAAACCAATGAAGAGAGGAAAATATATATGAGGGTTTCTGGGTGTTAACTGGAGGAAAGAATTGGTCAGTAGTGAAAGGTGAACCAGAAATGGCTTAGCGGTCAAGGAGAGTAGGGAACAGAATAATAAACCATAAGCAAATTAAAAAAAAATCTTCCTAATTCCCTTAAGAAAACTTCATTACCCTTTCTGACTCAGTTTCTGCCTTTTCAAAACAGGGAGCTGGTCTGACTAACCCACTCACAGATCCTGCGTTGATAGCCCGAGAGTTCTCGCAGAAGGTAGGTCCCATGATGCCAAACACGCCTTGTCTTCATGGTTTTTCAATATTACACACTTTGCAGCACTGGCAGGTTTGCAGCCAAATCCTTCTTCTGCAGAGCTCGCCTGACGTTGCACGTGGCTCACTGCCCAGCACACAGATATTACATCCAGGAGCAACCTTATTCATGCCATTGTTGATAGGGTGAATCCATGTAGTTAATTGCTCCTGAGGGTACTCACAGCAATAGCCTGGGATAGACTGAGGCTCTTCTGGCTGTGGAAATCATAACCCAAAGCATGGTATGGGTTTTTTTTAAGTCTAATCTCCTTCCAGGAACTCAGTACGGGACTTCAAAGTTTCTTGTTGCAGTCTTGACTTCTAGTTGATCCAGAATGATCTTTTTGCCATGTTCTTTCCTCTGGGGCCAAAGATGCTACTGATTTGACTCTTCGGGGCGGTTACTCTTTCAGACTGTCTTGGAGAAACACTGAGGAAATATTTCACTTTGTGAATTGGCACCCGTTTCGACAGGCAGGTTTTCAGAAAAAATGAAAAGAGCAGTTTTCTAGAATTCCTGGCTCTCTCTTTCCACCCCTGACCTCTCTGTCAGCTCCCAAGAATACAAGCAGGGCTGTTCCGGGATGGTCCAAAAATCTGTCTAGCCCA